GTAGCAAGGGATTCATAACTGTAGATATACAAGAATTCCCTTCCCGACACCTCCCGCTGCCCTCCCCAGCTTACTCTATCTTCACTTTACTCCACTTGCCCCGCGGACAGAATTGGTCCGCTAAAAAATCGGAAACATTCCCGAGTGACGATTCATGATTTCATTCCACACACGTATGATAGCAATACAAGTACTGGACCAGCCCTTCCAATAAATATCCAGAACCTCGGAAATCTAAAGTCTAATTAGCTATCGAGAGCCAAGCCTGTGCTCACCACCAACTTTCGTCCCAATCTCGGAAGCTACCAGAGCAATACTCAAAAAAAACCCCCTCCCCCCCCCCCAACATACCAAATTGGGACTATCCCCAGGCACATAAAGAACACCTCAAATCACCACCAAACATCCCCTTCCCCTCAGCGAGGACTAGGGCCGGAGAAAAATAAGTAAAAAAATGTTCTTCCCCGGGAAGGCTTGAACTTCCAACCTCTCGATTAACAGTCGAACGCGCTAACCAATTGCGCCACGGAGAATCGACGATGCCTGCCACTAGCTTTTGGCAAACAAGAACCGTGTCTCGAGAATGAACCACGGTTATTGTTAAGATCGTGAGAATTGGATTTCGGGAATGTTCGTTATTTTTTTTTTTCACAGTTATGTTGGCGGTGGTATTTGGGGTTTCTTTGGTAAAGGGATTGTGGTTGGTTCGGCAAATTATATAGCTGGATCGATCAATATTTTGGTGTGCCCTGCTCCGGAAACTTGCGGATCGGGGGGTGATTCTTGCACAATCTTTGGTTCCATCATGGGTTAATTGTGGCTCTCAAACTTCGGAAGATGGACAAGGTCAACCTCAAGAATCAATCTTGCTTGTAGTGCCCAAGCCCTTTAATCACAGCTTCCTGGGCGAAATTGGTTCATGTCTATTCCTAAACCCCATAATCTATCGGCAAGTCCAGCAGAACAAAAATACAAACTCCCATGCACATACAGATAAATAGTGTATCCAAAACCCAACCTCTAACCCCACCCAGGTAATCTAATCAACTAACTAACCGAAAAGCTCATCCCAATATTTCATAAATTTATTCCTACTCATCATCAGTACAGTGCCCAGCCAGCCTTCAATAATTAGGGAGAGCGGGATGACTTACCGAGGTGGTTTTGGAATATAATCTCTATCGTACTGGTCTATCTCGTCCTTATCTTGTAATAAGTCTACGTCTTCAGGTCTCCGCCACTTTGTCTTGTGTATGATTTTCCAGCCAATAAACAGCACCGGCAAGACCATAATCATAAGGTACGAGAATAGGAAAGTCGGGATATCCCACTTCCCGGGGAGGAAGACAGTGTATCCGCCAACGAAGCACATGACTGTTGTAGCGATGAAGGAGTACCAGGCATAGTAGGGTTGCAGGAATCCCCTGTGCGGAAGCGAGTCGCGCGATATGCCTTGCACCTCGAGCGCCTTCTTGAATTTTATGAAGGTGAAGGTCATGACGGAGAAGTTGATTAGCTGGGAGGCGGTGACGAGGTTAACGAACCATTGGAGTACTACCGCGGCACTGTTGGAGACTTGGAGGAATGATAGTAGGGCAATTGCTAAGACTACCGCTACAGAGTATATAGGCACGCCCTTCCTTGTGCATCGTGCTAATATTCTAGGCGCCTTGCCTTCCAATGCTAAAACCCCATGGATTGTTAGATAAGATGAGATAGGCATGTGATATTACAAGTCACATACCAAGCCCGTATAAGCTCCGGCTAGCGCAGTAGACATATGAATTCCCCGCTGAGAATGCCGAGGTCAAAACCATAGCATTAACAATATGCGGTAGAGCTGGGATCCGCAAACGATCCATTGCAATGACATACGGCGAAGCAGCGGCTCCTGGTCTCCCCTCCTTAAACGCCGCAGCCATAACAGGATCATTGTATGGGACAACAATCCCGACCGCCAACGAGCCCATTACGAAGAAGAAAGTGAGACGGTAAAAGACCGCGTTGAAGGCTCTTGGGAGAACAACTCTTGGGTTTTCCGCTTCTCCGGCTGCCATGGATATATAGTCTGGACCGGCAATGGTGAAAGATGCTTGGATGAGGCATGCGAGGAAGCCGAGAAAGCGACCTAAATCACCAGTTTTGATATATTCTGCAAATGGTCCAGGGTCCCTCCAATACCGAAATCCGTAGCGATCCCCTAGCGGATTCCCACCCAACATAGTCACGAAGGTAAATACGATCAACCCGAGGATGAGGATGACCTTTCCGAGGGCTAACCAAAACTCAGATTCACCGTACCATGCAACGCCGAATATATTGATGATTCTGTATAGGACAGCAGCCCATTATGGATTAATTTTAGTAAATTTTTCGTTGACGAATGTGGGGTCTGCTAGGAAAACACTCCAGCGGAATATGAAAGAACCCACCCATAACAAACTAAAACGACGGCAATAATAATCCCCACATGAATCTGATCGGTCCAATACTGAATAATAACATTGCAGGCGACTACTTCGAATGGCACAAGGGCTGCCTCAAAAACGAAAAAGTTGTATCCAGCAGCGAAACCAAAAGCATCATCCACGAAACGTCCAGCAAAACGGATAAATGGTGACGATATCGGCAAATAAGTAACCATTTCTGACATGGAATTTGTGACGCCCAGAATAACTGTACACCTAATTCTTGCGCAAAAATGTGAGAATTGCATTTCATGATTTGAACTCGATTTGATTGCCCCCCCATCTGGAAGAAACTAAATTCGACCTCAACGAAAGAGTTTCTCGTAGAATCTCCGGTCCGGTAACAGCACCCATCCGAAGATTCACTCCACGGTAATTCTATTCAAGTTCAAAAAAAAAAGAGAGAGAGAGAGAATAAAAAAGAATAAAAAAACGTACCATAATGTGAAAGCAATAAGCAAACTTGCCGGCCCCCCTTGCATCAGTCCCCTCCCAATAGAGACATAGAGGGCTGTTCCAATGGTCCCTCCAATACCAATCAACTGAATATGCCTTGGTTTGAGCTTGCGATGGGTATGATCATGACTCGGTAGTAAGGACCCTGTTTCTTCTTCAACATCATAGATATCAGGTTGCTCGGTCTCCTCAGCATCTATACCATTGTTAAACGAGCTACGTGATAGAGAGCTGTTTCCTGTAAATCGCTGTTCTCGCTTCGAGAAGCCATCTCCGACACTAAAAGAAGAGGATGCCATTTTCACGAACCGTCCACAAAGTGAGAAAGGTGAGAGTATGGTAGGTGAGAGGGTCCGTAGTTATGGAGAATCAGAAACTTTAGGTTGCCAGGACATTATCCCATGGCCTGGTGGGGACATGCATGATCGGGACACTCCTAAAATAGTAGACTCCAAGGTAGAATTAGTAAGCTTATAGTGGATGTTTTAAGGAATTTCATCGTTTATGATTATGTATAGAGATCGCTTTTGTCCTTTTATTTTATTTTTTTGATATTAGTCATGATACGCCAATCCCAAAGAGGTCAATACCAAGACTCAATTTGTGCTGTACTTGTATTTAGAGTGTCCCCATTCTGCATGTCTCCACCAGGCCATGTGATAAACAGAGGAGCGGAGTGTGAACCCGATTCAGCAATAGGCTTACTGTAGAGGCTCAAAAGCGGGTGAGCGAGATTCCATCATCATCACCATAGCTAGCCCTACCAGTCCCCGCATCTCGCTTTTCGCCATTAAATTTTGATACTTGCTCAATTTAGTGTACTCGTGCATAGTACGGTACTCGCACGTCTTTTCCAGGAAAAACGCCCGCTACCGAATTATCTTGAGGAGGTAAAGGTAAGCTTGAGATTCATTCTCAGTTCAAAATAATTCCGTAGCCGGCGCGAGCACTACCGCAGAATCTCAAATAATTGAGCCGTGTGCCATCTCGTTCGAGTTGCCTCCTCTGGTAAGGTCTGGTATTTTTCTTTTTTTACGCCTTTCAGAGGGGCTGAGCAGCTCACCTTTTGCTGTGTTTTTCGCCCCTTTTCCAGGGAAGGGAAATTTGGGCTACCTAGCGCATGGTCCGTTTATTCGAGTTCTTAAGGTAAGGAAGGCAAGTTGGGGATCCGCCAAGGAACCGGCAACCAACCGTTGAGGCTCCAACCTCCGAGGGCTGCAATTAGATCTAGCATGCCTATATTGAGATCATCTCATGTCACTCGATCAAAAATTATTTCTCTTTCGGATCCATGCAGGCAGCTTTAGATCTATGTTGCTCCATACCGGCGGTACTCTGTGTCAACCACCTTGTACTGTACTACAGTTGCACCTGGCTATAATGAATGCCAAGAATCAGGACCTCGAAGCTGCGTTCACTAATTTTTGTTATAGGGGTTCACTATAGCAAGTTGTTTTCCGGTATAAATTGGCTAGTGTGCCCGCAAGAACCGGTTCATAATAGCCAAATATTCATTATAAAGGGGCTCATTATAGCCAGATGCAACTGTATTTGTTAGCTGCTTTTGGTAATCGCGAAATATACCGTCCCATGTTGTACCCCTCTCGTGAAATTGCGATTAACCGAATCCCTACTCAATCGAGTTTTTCACCCTAACCACCAACAAAAAAGACAAAGTTCGAGGTGAATGGGGGATTGGTCACTCTTGCGTGGTATTTATGCGGTTCATTGTTTGGTCGAATTTCATCCTGCCGCGTAATTCGCTACGCCTATGTGATAAGTCACTGGGAAATTTTAAGGAAACGCGACAGGAAACAGAAAGCTGGTGTCCATTACATTCGACCCAGTGGTGATGCAACGTACTACCGTGATTGCAGAAAAGAAACAGAGCTTTTCTATCAACCGAATACTGCACTTTGATTTCCTCAACCGAGCTGTTCCTGTCACTTGACGCAATGGTATCATACATGAAAAAAAAAAAAAAAAAAAAGGGTTTCAAATTGTTTGACTCGGTGTCCGCAGTGACTGTCGAGCTAAACAAATATCACCGCAAAAAGTCCCAAGATGGGCATCAACGTCTTCATGGCTTAGTTGGTTAAAGCGTCGGTCTCATATCTTCAAAGATGTGATCCACTCTCAGAGTGGGATATCCGAAGGTCGCGAGTTCGACTCTCGCTGAGGACAAACTTCTTTTTGTGCCTCCCTGCTCGTTCTTTTATGTTGGGCCAAGGGAGAAGCTTTTTTGGTGCCGATGCACCGGGCTTCTGTAACGGCGACACGTAAATATGGAGTGGCTTATGTGACCTATCGACCTTATCCAAAAGCCCATGGGTATGGGAAATGTATCTTGCCACAAGAGCCAGCAGTTACGTATTATTCAATCAACCCGGTGCAGGCTTACCTTCACAGTAGGACCCAACCTTTTGAATGTCCACAGGAGGTGAAAAAACTTGCACACAGTAATCACAGATAATGTACTAAGCGCAAGTCAGCCAAGGAACACATTCATCAAAAAGAAGGCACCGAAAAACGTCCCGCTAGATAAGCCTGATTTCACTACACCCTACACTAGACCTCTATTCGAGTGTCGTTGGCTTGAAGCCTGTTCAAGGCCTATATTTTCATATGCTTAGAATGAGGGGAGTGGATATTACAGTTGTTTGAACGCTGAGGAGAAACCCGCATGCTTATTCAAGTAAGCTTGATGGAAGAATGATTTATCAAACCGGGATGTCGGTTTGTTGTACTTGAATGTTGGCTGTTGGTTGTAAAATTTGATGAGGGTTTAGCTGTGGAAGTAGGAGGTATTAGTGTTTGTCGGTCGATCGTGCGCCTTATGGTGTTAGTTTCTGAATCAATTTACAGGGTTGATGGGCTTTTTCGTGAAACTTTTTGATTTTCGCAGTTTGTTTAAGGGCTGTGTTGGTGGGGGGGGGGGGGCGATGCTGGTGTATGTAAATGGAATGTTTGCAGCAAGTGATTGTATTGAAATTTGGATTGTTCATCATGGGGGAGTATCAATTGCATCAAACACCCACAAGCAATACTTGCGATCTATGGGCTTGAATATAAGTGCAAGTGTATCGATAAATGGATTAGATGATGGTGCTAATATTATGATATCGACCTCGTTTACGCGAATGTATCCGACTTCTCTCTTGGTAAGCGTCCCAAGTAACCAGCCAGCATCGAGTTAAGTGCTTCCAATTCAAATTCCTGCCTTTTAAACATCTACTGCTTCTATATATTCTACTACCAGTGTTCCATAAGTAAAAAAGCCAACCCCTTATCCTATCGATGAATGATGTCAAAAAGGAAAAGTAGCATTTCCGAGTGATACTATATGAACAACCCAAACATCACATCCCCATCCAATTTTCGAACAAGGAAAAAATAAACATAAGATCCTCTATCAAATCCAAACCCAAAAAAAAGAACCCTTACTCCTCATCTGAATCCCCATTTACTCTTTTATCCTCCCTTTCCTCCTCTACGCATCTATCGCACACGCATTTACCACCAAGACTCCCGAACGCATCCCGTTGACGGTCTTTATATTCCATCCGTACATCACAGTAATGCGTCCAGCACTCATCACCCTTCTTCACTGCTGCGATCGGAGTGGCAGAGTCAGATTGTTTCTTGTGCCGACTGAAGCCGGTGAACTTGACCTCGTTCTCGCATTCCCAGGTCACAGTTGGCTCGCAGGAGTGGTTGAACATGGAGTAGAGAGTGTGGACCTGTTGATGATAGTCAGCCACCAGTGGGTAGAGCAGTAGGGTAATGGGAGGATGGAGAGGTGATGCATACAGCGGCAAGTTCGGTTCTTCTAGTCTTCGCACTGACCCGTGCGCTGGCGACGGATATAAATTTTGCCCTGACAGTCTGCATAACCCATAGGTCGAAAAAGTCAACGTACTTCGGGTCGAATATGTCAACATCCATTTCCTGGAGCATTTGTATTGGCTGGAGGACCTGATGGGTGAAGTTGAATGGTAGGGCGATAGCCGGAATGTGTTTTAGTGGCGGGCGGGAGACACCATAGAGGTATTTCACATCGGGCAGCGCGAGGGGGTGGACATCCAGGGTGAGAGCCATAGCGAATGTCTTTAGTAGAAGCAGTGAGTATGCAGAATTAGTGCTTGTCGTAGCGTTAATATCGCGATACAGCCATGTGAAGTCTCTCCCACAGAGCGCAGGATGGTAACTATTGCCCCCGGAAAAAAATCAGATTGGGGAACATCACACGTCCCCTCTTCCTCGCGGAGATTTTCTAATCACCTTTCAAAGGCCTTCTGCCTGCACTCTTCGGAGCACCACATAACACCGCTGTCTTCGTCCCCCTCCCAGCAGTCATCGCAGACTTCGTACCGATCCGGCAGATTCCCACCGCAGTACTCGCACAGGCTAGAATTCTCAGGATCAGCAACGACCGTCAGCGGGGATGCCTCGCTGAAGAAGGTCTCGCCTAGGAATATATCCTCCTTGGCATAGACTCCCAGATGCTTATCCGAGGATCTATCCCCGTCACCGGCAAACGACAGATCTCTCTGCAAGATTGGCAAGTCAACAACTTTGAGCTCAGTCTTTGTAGAGCACTTGGCCATCGCGGCATTAAGCACTTTTAAAGTTTCGTCGGAGAAGCGGTCTGGCTCCATGTTGTTCCATGGGTAAACTTCTCTTCTCCATTCTCCTTCGCGGAGAATCGCCTCTTTGCTGGGAATGTGGCTTTCTGTTATTAGTCCTTCGCCCGGGCCTGAATGTAGGGGTCCACCTGGGTAAAAGTATGGGGTGGTCACCTACCCCGGGATTTCGAAATTGAATTCTGGATATCGCTTTGTTCCAATTTCTTTGTAGCGCATGGAGTCTTGGTGGCAGCCTATTTCTCGGAGCGCTACACTGAGGCTGGAAAAGGCTTGCGCTTCCATTTCAGCTGCGGATAACATAATTTAGCAATATCGTCGGAAGGAGAGGGAGCAGTTCCAAACCTATCTCCGGAGTAATCTCTTCATCGTCCTCTCGAACCATATCAACAAGTAGTAAAGCTCTATAAGCGTCTCCCGCCGCTAGGTCCGGAAATGCAAGCTTCAAATGAGCCAGCGAGCGCTCTAGATAAGCCAGGATACTGTGGGGCTCGAGTTTCAGGGCTTCGGTGTAGAGTTTTCGAGCGCGAACATATTCTCCTTTCGAACTCGCTGATTGAGCTTGCTCAAGCAAGGACTCAGAGCCTCGGGATTCAGGGTACGTAGTCACAAGGACTGCCTCGGAATCGCGCATGTGCATCTTCAAAGAATATCGGTAGAAACGAGGTACCGCAATTATGTGAAGATGAAAGGAGGGGGCGTCGGTGGGGCTTTTACGTCGAATTTAACACCCCGCAATTTGAGGCTCTTCGACTGGCACCAAAAAATTTTGCCCCCTGTAAAAGGAAAAGGGTGCTTATCCCTTTCCAAGACCGGGTCGTCTGGGTCGCTCCCAATCTGGGCAAAAAGCAAAAAGAACTTCCCCGGGAAGGCTTGAACTTCCAACCTCTCGATTAACAGTCGAACGCGCTAACCAATTGCGCCACGGAGAATTTTGCTTTTATCTCTGTTAAGAATAATATACCCTTATTCCTTGGCCAGAGTTGCTCAGACTGAGGAGTTTCTCAGTTCCACCTGACCTCGCTCCACAACACACGGGACATACATTTAAAGGGATGTAACTGTAGTTGAATAATAGCGAGAATGAGCACTGTATCCCTTACGGTATATAATCCCCCTAAGAATTACTTGTGATTAGCATCATCTTGTAATATTTGTACAAGGAGCTCACGCTCTCAGAAGCCACGAGTGACATAGCCATTGGGACGATATCTTAGCATAAGTGACACTCCCTGAGCTACAAGAATCGATCAAGTTAACGGTCGAGTAATTTAAACTAAGCTCATACATGGCAGCTGGATGCTTTCACCGTGATCCCACTGCAAAGATATTTTCCGAACATACTAAGATAGAAAATCATTAAATTTTAGCGTAGAATTATGATCTGATCTGTCAACGCCTTCGTCAATCACTTTACACTTTTACGAGCATGGGAATATTAGTTCCAAGATGAAACAGCCGAAAAAGATACCCCCCCCGAAGCCAAAATTCCCTTTACATAGCACCGTTCGAAAGCATTCTGTGGCTGAAAAGTTCATCGGCACGCTTAGATCACTTTTTCGCCTTTTCTGCCAAATCACCAACATAAAAAAATCCCCAGAGAAACGAATATTTATTCTCGCCGAGCGAATAGACTTTTTGTAACAGGACCTCAAATATTTCCGGGCACCATCTCAAGAAATCCAATCCTCCCCAGCACCGCCGAGTCGAAATTTCTCACAAACCCCCCCCCCCAATCACCGCATGTTATTTCCATCCTGAAGTCCGCCCGCCGAAAGAGAAAAACACATTTTTCGTTACGCCGACATCCCGAGACCGAAGGATGAGATCGTTAAAAAGGAAACCGAGGAAGGAAAAAGAAACAGAAGCCAAAAGTCGAAACCATTGATTTAGATTCCGATTCTAGTCTTACGCCAATGTCTCCTCTTTGCGTTGTACCTGCACCAGGTGAAAAAGAAACCAAGTCAGCGAAATCTGCAAATAACCGTAAACCGAGCGGAACGGGGTGGGCGGGAAGTGGTAATTACCGGATGGTGTTTCCGGTTCGGAGACGAATCCACTGGGGAATCGGGCGGTTTTGCTTCTGAGCTTTGGCAAGCTTTTGCTTGGTACGGAAAGATTTTTGGCTCTGTATTCGCAAGGAGAAAAGTCAGTATAATTGTCGGATAATCTAATTGTCGCAGAGATGGTAAAAATGGGGATACGCACAGGCATGGCTAAGCTTGTTGGTTGTTTTTCGCTCAGTCGTCGTGTTAAATTTTGCTGTAGTTGTTGGTTGTGATAGAGGTGTCGGTGAATGTGTCGATGGTATGTGTGAGTGGTGTGTGGTAGGGTTTGTGCCCTAGTGAAAGCAGTCAGACGTCCACAAACACTTGGCGCACACCACATCACTCTCAGTCCTAAGCGACGCCACAATTTCCAGCCACAGGCTAAACATGATCAGATAGGCAGTGTAGACTATGGAATACTCGGAGTATTACTAGAATTCATCCTATCCTATCATCTCTCATCTCAAATGAAATGAGGTAGCAAACCGTCCTG